TCTTCCAGTTTGTACTTTATCTCATACCATGAGATTGAAACATGCATTTTTAACAAGATCACTACAACATAGATTACTTAAATATGTCATTTTCCTCTCACTGCCATTGAAAAAAGAAAACAAATCTTTACAAAATGCATGAATTTCTGTTGGTTTTTCCTTTGGATTGGGATGCTTTTCTTAGTTCCCCTGTTTCTCCTTCTGTGGGAAAGGGACACTTAGCTTTCAAGATAGCTTCTTTATGAAGTTCCTGGTCTACACTGGCTGCCAGGTAACCTGTATCACTCTTTTCTTCTGAGGACATAGTGTACCCCTCAGACTTCCATCTTAGTAACCATAGCTTTTATTGCTGCATGATTAATGGCATAAGGAAATTAATCGCCAGGTGACTATAGTATGCAATATAAAGGAAGACAAATGGGATAATGTAAACATTAATCTTGTAAAGTTCACTGGCTAGTGAAGGGAAATTCAGAGAATATGTATTTAAAATATAATCTTAATTTCAGGGCTAGAAATCTTTACAGGGTATTACAGAGCCACAAAAAAAGATATAAGATGGACTTTAACCATCTCAGCAGGTGTGTGTTTGACTTTTTTGGCAAGAGGCTTTTGAGAGGAGAATTTTTCTTATAATGGTAGGCTTAGGAGTGAACAGTGTGATGATCACAAGCATCCCAACTTCAGTGCAAGTTATTGTGGTCCTGAAATGGTAAGGACCCCAGAAATAACTGGGGTAGTCTCAGAGAAGTAGAGAGAGAGCTGAGGTCCATGTCTTCTTAGAAAATGGGAAGATTTTTAAAGCTCGGGGCTTTCTCACTATGTTATAAATTTGGAGAACCTTGTTTAGGACAAGGGATTCTAAGAAATTTTACAAGTTGAGCAGAAGCACTATACATTATTTTACACTGTTTAGTATCTTTAACAAGCTAGAGACATACATTTATACTTTGAATATAAAGACAGATACAAAAAAGTTTGCGTAAAAATTGCTCTGGAGCTCACTTTTATCTGATGGACTGCTGTAATAGTCAGCTTTCATGAGGTTATGCTGCTGTCTAAATGATCCCCGAATCTCAGTGGCTTACAAAGTGTTTGCATCTCACTGACACTGTACAACTTCTAGCTGGCTATGTTCTGATCTTTCATCATCGTCCTTCAGTGGCTCCAGAGTGATGAAGCAGTGACTTTCCTGGTATAGGTAGAGTTGGAAGGCAGAGAGGTAGAATGGTGGTGGAACTATCTATTAATTCCCCAGGCTTTTGTCTAAAGAAAGTAGCACTGCCACTGCCAGTGTTAGTTGGCTAAGCAGTGACTGTCAGAAACAACGGTGCAATGCACGATAGCTACAATCTTCCAAGACCAGAAGCTGGTGGTTCTGAAGACAAAAGACCAAGAAAAGGTAAAAAAGAAAAAGGAGGCTTATACATGTAACTTTAATCAGGTGAAGCATAAGGTTAACCTGTTCAAGAAAGAATCTGGATAAAAACTTATTAACAAAGTGTGAAACCTTCAGAAACAAAATCGCCTACTTTGAGGAAAACATTGATGACCCTCCTGCCAAAACATAAAGCACACTACCGAGCTAAACAGCCAGAAGTATCTTACTTTGATCAGAAGTCTATTGGGGCACCAGTAGACTTTGATGTGTCAATATTAGTACTGGCTGGTTACAGAAGCTGTTTAAAGGGGAACAAGGGTCAACCGTAAGTAAGCACTTCCATGACCTGGCACCAGCGCTCCTGTTGGGGATGATCTCTGCTCACTTACTGTGCACAGAAATCCTATTGCCTTGTTACTTTAGATGCTCTTATCCGAAGAGGCTTTCTGGATCTTTCTCATCAGTATGAATTACATCTTTCTTAAACGTAGTGGTAACTGCATTTCTATTTGATATATTTCGTATCACTTTACACTGCAGTTAATTATTTACTTCCTACCTCCTTACCCAGAGAACTGTGAATTCCTTGAGGGTAGAAACAGTGTTTTGTTCCTGTTGGAGTTTTCCAAAGAACCTAGTACAGAGAAGCGTTCCAGAAGAAACACAACCAGTCCTTGTTGAAGTTCATAAATTGCAACCTGGATAGAAAGCATCTGAAAGTTTAGCTACACCATTGAGAAGGTTTAGCTATACCTTCGATGGGCTGATAGACCATGAAGTGCACACCAGTGGTGGAAGGAAATAATTGTTTGTGATGATCTAGGGTCTGAACTCACCAACACACTACTTCTGGGCAAAATAATCACATGGTGAGAAGAGATGGGAAGGAGAGGACTGGGAAGGTGCAAGGTGCTGTCAGGTATGCTTAGTGCCTCTATTCCTCTGACATCTGGATTCATTTGTCCCCTTCAGGTATTTCTATTTATATTCTCTTAATAGCAGATGCTAATTAATTAGCATAGTCTTAGTTTAAGAAATTGCTGTAATAATGTGATTCGACCTTAGTTATGCAAACAGTGAAAACGAGCAATATGAGGATAATTAAAGGATTAAATAAAACATTAGGTTGAAAAGGATTAAAGTAATATAGAGGGCTGTATGAAATAGTTAGGTTCGTAATAGAGAGGATGAATATTTTTAGAGTCTCTGAATTTAGATTTAGATATGCTTGTTCTATTTTGTAAATCAAAGAAATGTCCTATATCCTTGATTGGTGTGTTTAGGTTTTATGGTGACAGATACCTTATAATAACTAGAAATAGAAATTCTATCTCAGGTGGTAATATAGCACAGGGAACTGAGGAGAGGTCTTAAGGTGCTGTTAATTAGCAGCAATCTGCAGCCCAAAGTCTCAAAGCAATTAAAAATGGTAAATGAATATTTTGATGCCGAGTGGAATGACACCTATGGGGGTGGACAGTGTACCCTAGGATTGCTTACAGTACTTACATTAACAAATTATGTGGAAAAATCCAAGAAGAACAAACATGGACCAACATGTTTGTCTAGCAGGCAACTGCATTTTTGAATGGCAGTGTATTGTTATATACGAAATTGTCTATTAACTGCAAAATCTACTACAGAATAACCAATCTTTCATCTTATCTTTTGTAAATGTAGTTCTCTATTTACTTACAGAAAATTCACTTTTTTCTTTTAACCATGGTGATTTTGCTGTTCTCTGGTTTGATAAAATCTTGCTGTCCACGTGATAATTTATTCAAGTGAAACTGGTGGTCACACAATGACTGCAATGTCACATCTATGCACATTTGGGGACCAATGGGATTGAACATTACTTTTGAGCTCAGAGTGGCAAAGTAATTTATTGTTGAGATACCCATCAGCCTTTGTTCTGGTTTCATTAGTTGAGGCATTTAATGAACTTGTGAGCACACTTCTAAAAGAAAATCAAAGCCAATTCAACACTGCAAACCAGTTTTCAAGTAAGAAACAAAGAAGTGCACGTTCCTTTTAGGAGAATGTCAGTGGCAAGTAGCTAATACTTTTGGGAGTATGACGACTTTTAAGAGCTGTGCTCCTGGTAGACTTCTGCCAGTCTCAGGCACAGTAAGGTACACATAAAAGATGGAATTTCTGCTAAGGAAGTCCCACAGGGCAGTGAATAAAGAATCAAGTTAGTGCCTCACACTAGCTTCATCCTCTGAATGGTGTGGCTGGCTTAGGCTCACTGCCCTGTTATGGGGAAACAAATCTACAAGTGCTTGAAAACAGGGTGATCTTCAAAGCTAAACTTGGCTAGTAGTTTTCACCTATTTTGCTAAACTTTTTTGCCACAGAAAAGTCTGTGGCTGTGATAGGCTTTTTAATTAATGTTTCTGATTTTCACAAGTACTTTACTTTTTAATTTAATTAAGTTTATTGGTACAATTTAAGTATATGATGGTCACATTCATCATAGGGAACCAATGTGGCTTTTTTAAGAAAGTAAGGGTGCAAAGCAAACAGCGCAGGAGCGGAGCACAGAACCTAAACATTCTTAGCTATTCACCTCTGTCCTTATTTCAGGGACTGAGCATTCATGAGGATGGCGTGATTTAGGAAAAATGGGCTAGTCAAACTGCTAACGGGCAGTTTGGTATGTGCACTGAGCACATAAAAAATAAACTATACTGAAGGTAGGAATCTGAGCTTATGCAAAAATATCTTCTAAATACGTGGAATAAAGGAGCTTAGAGGTTATTGAATAGGCCCTTTAAAAGACCTTGGACCTGGGGGCTGAAGTCGTAATCACTGGATTGGGAAGCCTGTTTGTAAGAAATGACAGTGTGACCTCTTTGGAACAGGAAAGTTCCTGATTGTTACGCAATGTATGTGTTTCATTGTTTACACGATTTTACTAGGCGATTGGGAGCTGTGTGCACAGCAAGGTGAGCCCTTAGCAGCACCCCAGACTCTAAAACTAGAACCAAACACGTTTCCTTAACACTTTTCACTACCTTTGTCCTTGAAATAATATTTTATGCCAAAAGTTCCCAAACCGTCTACTTCTGCACATTAAAGCAATTTATTTTCCTTATGTTTTTAGGACCTACAGTGTAAGTTCCTTCGAAAAAGTTTCCTACTCCTTTCCACTGTGTTGTAAGACGAAATCCAATCAGTACTGAACAATGAAAAGGTACTGCCTGGAAAATGCTTAATTTTGCCACAGGATCTTCTTACACCTTCCCCTCCTTTTCTCCCACACACAGCAGCCTCTTTCTCTTGCAGCTTCCTTTCTTTCTGCTATTTACTAGGGTGAGGGTGAAAATAAGGGACAGGAGTCTGTGGTCTAGGCCGGGCCCGGGTCCTGGGGCCTGACCTTTGGTGACTCTCGGGGCTCTGGAGAGGACCTGAGGACAGTCGCAGGTGGAGCTTGCCAGGACGCAGGACGACCCCGGGAAATCCTGGCACCCGCGCCGCTCCGGGTTCCCGCGGTCCCGCAGGCGGTTTCCGCGCTCCTTTCTCCGGCCCGGCCGCGAGCCGAGCGAAGGGGGCGGGTCCTCGCGTGCCGGGCACGCCCCGGCCTGGTTTATAATTCGCCCGGCGCCGCCGCCTCCTTGTGCCAGGTCCCGGACGGACGCGCTGCCCGCCGCTCGCTCGTGCAAAGCGGGCGCCAGCTCCCACGGCCGCGGGCGCGCTCGCTCCCCCGCGCGCTCCGCCCCGCGCGTCTCGGCTCCCGCAGAGGCGCCCTCTCGGCCGGTGACAGCACGGACGCCGCCCGCGCCGCCCGCGGCCCTGCCATGGCTGACCTGAGCTTCATCGAGGACACCGTCGCCTTCCCCGAGAAGGAGGACGACGAGGAGGAGGAAGAGGAGGGCGTGGAGTGGGGCTACGAGGAAGGTAAGCGGCCGCGTGTCGCCGGGCGGCGGGGTCCCGGGACCCTCCGCGCTCCGCCGCTGTCGCGACCCCGAGCGCCGCCTGCGCGCCCGGGTCTTCGGGGGTCTCCGCCCCTCCTCGCTCCTGCCGCGCCGGTGGAGGGCGCTGCAGAGGCCTGCACCGCCCGCCCGCGGGTCCCGCGCCCCGTGCAGGGGAGAGCAGCCTCCGGGAGCGCGCGGCCCCCGCGCCTGGACGACAAGGGCTCCTGGAACTCGCTCTGTGGACCATGCTAGCAATGCTTAGCAGCTTCTAAAGTCTAACTTTGATTGCACTCTGCGTCAGTGGGCTTGGCGAGAAAGGGCCGAGTTTTAAAAAGAAACTTAGTTTTCTGTGTTTTCCCCAGAAGACAGGGTGCTCCCACTGGTCGGCCTTTAAGGCTGCTGTTGCTGCATACACTGGAATAAACGGAAACTGGTAACTTCGGCTACACAAGTTAGGAATGGGCGCAGATATGTGTAGTGCGTGAGCATGTGCACGCTTCGGTGCGTTTGGTTTCTGATAGGTGTTACTAGCATCGAGATGATAGTTTTTGGCTCTTCACCAAGCATGTGGGAAGTTACAGCTGTTTCCTAAGTACGAAATACAATTGAACTGATGAGCAGAGGAAATTTTTGTGGCGTTTTTTTCTAATCGTTTAAAGATGACCTCAGTTTCCTAGAGCCATAAATCATTACATCTGCATGGGCAAATACGAGCGAGTGGAATATTTCATTAGTCTAGGATGTTGTACGCAGCAGTCATATTATTATATCGTTCGTCTAATGAATGTAAAAATTCACACATGTTCACTGTATTTCATCTGCATAATGATGGCAGTCAAATCTCTCTTCGAGATGCTAAGGACTGTAAAATTGAACTGGTTTTGCATGTTAAATTTTCCTGAAATTTCCTTTTTTGGGAAACCTAAATTTTTTTCATTTTGTCCTTAGGTGTTGAATGGGGGTTGGTCTTCCCCGATGCTAACGGGGAGTACCAGTCTCCCATTAACCTAAACTCCAGAGAAGCCAGATACGACCCCTCACTGCTGGATGTCCGCCTCTCTCCAAATTATGTGGTCTGTCGGGACTGCGAGGTCACCAATGACGGACACACTATTCAGGTTATCCTGAAATCGAAATCAGGTACTATAGAATACGTTTATGTGTTTTTGCAAAGTAGACCTCATAATAGAGGTAATGAAAATTGATTTAATTTGTACGACTTTAAAAGTACAACTAACGGCTATATTTTCAGGACATTTTTGTATGTTATAAAAGGCATTTTTGGAGAGGTATTTCCTGAAACAATTTGGAAAGAATAGACAGATGACATTAGGAAGATCTCAGCTCACTGTCCTTTGATATTGCTGGGACTACCTTAGTTTGGCCGGTTTACCCCTTGTGAAGGGTCTATGAGGGTGTTAACTGGTCTGCATTTGGGTTTAAATTGTTGATTAGCCAAAATCATTTAGATAATTATAATTCTGTTTTATCATTTTTTGAAACCAGGGATAAGGGTATTGATGTAGTCTCACATCCAAGATAGACTTTTCAAATTAATTTTCTTTAGTATATTATATTAACATAAGAAGAATTGCTAACTGAGAACAATTAAAACGTCTTAATTTAAGCTCATCCAATGATTTAAATGGCAAGTAAAACCATTGTCTTTATCTTTAACTCTACCTTTCGCTTTGAACCTGTTTGAGATGGATCTTAACTATTTTGTGGAAAAGGGTAATTTCCAGGGAGATTGAATGTTAAGCTTCCATATAGGGGAGAAGGAAGAAAATATTTTTAAAAAATCATATTAATGTCTTGCTTTTTATAGTAGTAACTTTTTCCCTCATGTGGGGAGGTAAAAAGGATGTAGATGAAATATGTATACATACAATACCCCATGATAAACATGTTTATAACATACATGTAAATATGTAATAAAAATAGGAAGAAAATCAATTAAAAAGGAAACAATATAAAGTTGTAATATGTTGAAATACTAGGATGTGCTTGATAAACAGACTCTGCTCAAATTAGTTCCAAATTGATAAATTTGATGTTTTAGATCTATTATTAGGCAAGGCAATTACTGATTTCCAACTATGCATTTTTTATTTATCATGAGTTTCTTCCCTTTAATTCAGAATCCGTGATATAGCCAGGGATTTGTACAGTCCTCCTATTTCACTTGTACTTAGTCAAAGACATACGACATTTATGTCAGATTTGAACCTAAATCAGAATTTTTAGGGGGGTTATTGGTGATTGGGCATTATCATTGTTTTAAGAAATTATTTTTATGTGCAATGTAGCATTATCCAGTGAAGACCATCCTGGCATTGAAGTACATTTTAGGGCATGGTCTGTATGACATGACATGCCCATAATTCTTTGCGCTTCTAGAGTAAATGTTTATAGGTCTGTACAACAAAAATGAGCGTTGGCTGTGTGCAGATGAGTAAGGTAGTTCTTGAGAACTCACAGAGTTGTGAAATGAAGTTCTTCAGTTCTTTAAAGTTCAAGTGTAGATATGAAGTGGAAGTGTTGTAGAGTGATTCGGGGAGCACAGAGTGACACTAAGTAGAAGTAAACACCCCGCTGAAACAGCGTGTGCGGTCCTGGATGGAGATCAAATTCACTTTGTCACATTAAGTTTGTAGTTGTTTTCTGATGCCTTCACAAACATGCACTGTTTCTTTGGCCTCTTTCATGTACCCTAACACAGAGAGTAGAAAGCAGTGCTCCCACCCAGTGCCTTCAGGTATGTTTCCTCTTCCCCTTCTTTTCTCTACTCCCTGCCCTTCCCCAAGGACTCTGTGTTTCTGTCTGTTTGATTTGTTTCTCTTAACTCCTGGGGGACCACATGCTTCTTTTAGGTGCCCTATCACTGTCACTGTAATGATTTCTTTTCTTTTAATGGACCTGAAAAATTTAAAAATTTTTTTTATGTAAGCTTCTCGAAGTGTAATAGTTCTATCCTGCCATTCATTTATATAAAGTTGTATCTTTATCAAAATACCATACAGACATAATTGTTTCTTGTTGCCCCAGTGACCACTGCTTTGAACCTTTTCACCTGTTCATCTTGCAGTCACCTTCACATTTCTTAGTAACATCCTTAGGGTATTTCACTTTGATATTTAAGATATCCTGAACCCTCCACTGCAGAAGATGAGGTTGGTTCTCTTCCTGGACTCGCATTTGTGGTTTGTCCTTACAATGGTCCTTAAATTACATTTTTATTTAAATTAATACTTGTGTTTTTATCATGACTGTGTTATTGTGATTTCTACCCAAGACTGTATCTCCTTTATTGAACAGTATTTCTTCTTTTCCTGGAGTTAGTATGTTTTTATTTATTTTTAAATTTATCTGTCACAGATTATGTTTTCACTAACATAAAACAACCTGTCTCAGGGTATCTCAAAGACATCAGATGGTCTCATCCGGTCTCTTGTCCGTCCTTCCATTTCCTGGAGGCCTGTGTTCCCTCCATGGACTGCATGGTCTCCAGGCCTCCCTTGCAGCTATTGCCTGCCCCTCGCTGGACCTTACCCCATGGAGTTTCTTTGTTTATCCCCCGTGGTGGAACCCATGTTTGCTAAATGCTGTGTCAACCTGTATGGGAGTTGGGCTGTCCTTTGAGGGAGTTTCTTGGTTTCTTTTGTCCTGTAGTTCACCTTCTAGGAACTTCCCGAGAAAAAAATGCAGTGAGGGGCAAATGTTCGGATGCCTCGTGTGTCTGTATGGGTCTCGTGATGCTGCATGCTTGGTTGGTTTGCCTGAGAAAATGGACGGTGTTGAGTATTTATTTTGGTATCATTTGTGTTTGATGTCATTGCTGCATTGCTTTCTGGCTTCCAGTCTTGTAGCCGAAAGATCTAGTGCCATCTGTTTTTCAACCTTTGTGTGTCCTTTTTTTCTCTAAAAATTTTTACAGTTTTGCACTTCTGTTGTTTTAAAATTTTACAGCCATATGCTTTAGTATGATTTTTTTAACTCTGTGCTGGGCACAGAAAAATTTGCCCATTATTTCTCGTATTGTTTCTTTTTTCTTTTTCCTCTCTCATTTACATCTACTTTCTGTTTGGCTCTCTGCAACTTTCTAGTAGATTTCCCCAGTGTATGTCTTACAGTTTTTCAATTGAACTTAGAAATTTTGATCTCATATTTTTAATTTCTAAAAGCATTTATGCTATTTCTATGAATTAAAAAAATGTAAAATAGAGCATGCAGTATGAAAAGGGTGAGAACGTGAAATCCGCCTTCATTTTTGCCTACACTGCTGATTTCATGTTTCTCTGCATGTATCTGTTCTCCTTCTCCTTGTTTGTTTCCTCTGTTTGACTTTGGAGGTCCTCCTCATATGTCTAGGGAATTTTACTCTTTGTTCCTACCTAAAGATGCCTCAGTAGTGGCTCTGGGGAGGAACTGAGGTCTGTAGACCCCATAGAGAGGGATTACTGGGGATTCTGTCTTTGGTGGGAAGCATCTTTCTAGGCCATGTAAGTGGTACCTGGACTCACCTGTCTGTTGGGATGGGGGCTTGGCTTGTACCTGGCTGCCTGCGATCTGGCTGTTGGCCACAGACGGGGAGCACTACCATCGGTGTGTTCACATTCCTGACATCATCTGCCAGGGAAGTAAAAGGAAGCTGCCTAGCCGTGGCCGGGAAGTTCAAAGATTTCAAGGATCCTTTTTGAATCCAAGGGTTTTGAATCCATTTTCCTGTCTGCAGCTTGCCGTTCTGTACCTGTACATCCAGGAATAGCTAATGCTGTGTCTCTTGAGTCTGTCTTCATGTCTTACTCCATTTAGCTGCTGTAACAGCTCAGGCTTAATAATTTATGTAATAGAAATTTATTTTTCACTGTATTAGAGGCTGCAAAGGGCAAAATCAGAAGATTCAGCGTGTGATGAGAATCTGCTTTTTTTCCACAGATGGTACTTTCTTGCTGGGTTCTTATACAGCAAAACTACAGAAAGACCTAGCAGTGTCCCTCAAACCCTTTATAAGGCACTAATCCTATTCACGAGAGAGGAACCCTCATGACCTACTCGTTTCTTAAAGGCTCCATCTCTGTTGCGTTAGGGATTAAATTTGAGAGTGGTTTTGGAGCAGACACAGGCATTCAAACCATAGCGACGGGGTTCTGTGGCAGGGACTGCCTGCTTCTGTGGTCTTCTTCCTCCTGTAGTTCTCTGGTTTGCAAAGCCACTTCCTATTCTTTGTCCACTTAGCTCCCCCAGTTTTTGGGACATTTCTCTGCTTTTTAAATTTCCACTCTTGTGCATTTTCCCCTGTCAAAATCATGCCTTTTTTGCTTAGTGAGGATCGAGCAGGGAGTGAAAATAAACAGTGGTGTGTAGTCCTCTTTCTTCAACTGGAGGGGTTCCCTTCATGTGTAGTGAGTTTGAATAAAAAGTAGGAGGGAGATTTTTTTTTTTTTATTTTGAAGGTAATAAAATACAACAGAACAAGACAGAACAAAGCCAATTGAGACAGTGTAGTGAAATTGGTACAGAACTTCACAGCTGGTAACCGGGATAACATCAATAGGTATCACAGTATATCTCGTTGCCACAATAGTTGTTCTTTCAATCACATATAGCAAAATAAAATGAAATATAAAACATTGTAAAACTTATCAAAACAGAATATTAAATAGAACAGTACCATTAATCAGAATAAAGCAAGATAGTAGTAAAAATATTTGCCTTCAAAAAGATGGTAGAAGGAAATCCCCTTATTTGCTATATTGCATATGGTCAACCTCCCAAGAGATGCTCAGATCTCTGGATCTCATTTGCTAAAGGGGGGCAGGGAAGTGGGATGTTTAACTCTCAGCCTGTATACTGGTAGGCTCACTATTGTTTAACAGGGAGACAGGTTAATTGTTTGGTTTCCCAGTGCCCAAAGTTCCAACATGGCGCTGATCTCAGGAGACACTGGTGGTTCTCCCCTTGGGGCTGTCTTAGCCAGGAGGGAGATTTCTTTCTTTTGATATTAAAGCTGACTTTATATTCACCATCTTGTTGAAACCTCAGGTCTTTCTGAGGCTGTCAATGGCCTGGGCTACCTGTTTCTTCTTTCTCTGACTCTGTGTCTCTCTCTGTCACATAAATTGCACATTCATAAAAAC